GTAGAAAGTGACAATATCAAATTATTTCTGCATTATAAATATTATCTCCATGTACCTGTAGCCTTAATTATAACTTCTCTCTTGAATAAATGAATAGAACTCATTCTTTCTTTGGAGAATTTTTGACAACTTTGGACCATAAAGTCTCTTTTTTTCCTCTTTTACATACAAATATTCACTAGATCCTAAATTGGTCTTTTTTTCCCGAACTAGGTAATTCACATAATTTTTTTAAAAGTATAAGGTATAAAATTAAAAGTCTCCCTCCTGTTCCGCATTCCTTAACCCAGTCTTCCATCCTCCCTAAATGGTTACTACAACACTATTGACAGACTTATTTTATACTCCGTCACTTTTTATATACAAATGGGAGCATATTATACACAATTGTTTACATTTTGCTTTTTAACTTACTGTATCTTGGAGATATTTCCTTACCAATATATAAAAAGCTTTCTCATTCTTTTTGACAGCTGTGTGATATTCCATTGCATGGATGTACCACAATTTATTAATCAGTCCACTACTGATGGGACCTGACATTTTTATCTTTTGCTTATTAAAAAAACATTGCAATGACTGAACTTGTACAGGCAACTTTGGACCTATTTGCAAATTGTCAATGTCTGATGGAATTTCTAGAGGGGAACTGTTGAGTCAGAGTACATGAACGTATAACATTGATAGACCTTGTCAAATTTCCCTCCAAAGTGGTATATCAATTTACATTCCCTTCAGCGGTGTATGAGAGTCCCAGTTTCCCCACATCGAACTCATTATGCTTATCAAAATAGGTAGGATATGGTATCTTGCTATAGTTTCAATTTGTATTTTTTGAAGATTGACTCTTTTAATGTAAATATAAAAACTTATAAGTTATACAAATGTATGCATTTTATTTTCCTCTCTCTCAATTGCCAGGACTATAAATTCTTTATTGTACAGAGCACTGACCCAGGTCATCTGGGCAGACATCCAGCTGCATGCCATTGTCTTTTATTCCCATTCAAAACCATTTTCTAAGGCCAGCTTCTTTTATGGGTCTTCCAACATTAACACAGAGGAAACTGTCACATAATGCTGTAAGCTCTGAATTCAGGAAGGAGAATCTGACTTCTGACTCTACTACAGAAGCTGTGAGGCCTTTCATTAGTTATTGGACTTCTCCAAGGCTTAAATTCTATCTGTAAAATGGAGCAAAGACACTTTTCTCATAAAGTTGCTCTGAGGATTAAATGAATGTATATATTCAAAGCCCCAAGCACAGAGCTTGGGTCTGATTAGGGCTTCAATAATGGGTGCTTTAGCTTTGTCATCAGTTACTCTGTCAGGCAAAAAAAATCACTAACTAAGCAAACAGTTGTTTCATTGCTTTGGGATACTTCCAATTAAATACTCCCAGGGGTTAAACATTACTTGATCATGCAGCACTGCCAACTAAACATTAAGAATGAGTTATTTCTGGTTGTAAAACTTCAATCTGTTTCTCTATCAACATCAAACTATTTTGTGCAAAGGATCTCCACTCATTTGGAATGTTGATTTCCGAAAGGATGCCCTTTTCTGCCTCTATCTAGGAACTGCTGAGCCTACGGAGTTAAGGAAGAGCAAGAGGGATGAAGGGAAAGACCTTCCACTCACCTGCCGGCACAGTTACTATCACACCTCCCCAGTGTTCTGCTTTGGCTACCCATTGTGGTACAAATGAAAGGTCCAACTGATTTACATATTCAGATGTGTTTGAAGAAGCACAGTTCAGAAGGGTGGTGGGCAGGACAACATAAGAAAAAGTATCTGAACTTTGGGAGTCAGAGAAATCTAAGTTCAAATCTCGCCCCTGAATCTTATTCCCCTCATTAACTTGGAGTAAATCATTCTCCACTGGGAGAGGTATCACTCTCCCTCCAGCCCACCTGGGTGGAGGTGTTTTAGATTATCCCAATGACTAGAGGATGCTACTGGCAATTAGTGGGCGGTATCACAAATGCCAAATGTCCTGTCAAGGACAAGAGAGCCAAGTTCAACACAGACTGTTGCATCTAAAACGCCAACAGTGTCCAGAACTAAGAACTCTCCTGCCCTTAGTTTCCTCAATTGTCAGGACAATGGTAAACGTACCAACCTTCCAGGTAGAGGTTTAAATGAGATGCTGCAAGTAAAAGTACCAGCTCAAGAATAAGTACACATTTAGCCTTGATAATCAATGCTGTTCTTACCTTCCTATCCCCCTCCCAAGTGACAAATGTACAGAGCTCATTTGAAACAGGCCCATCATGTGTGGTACAGCAAAGAAACAAAGTTGAGCAATCATTTTCTCAAAGTGGGAAAATCAGTATCACATTTTAGTAGTACCGTTTAGCAGACTTTTGCAAAAATTCTCTAAACTTTAAATTGAGAGCCAAACACTCCATCTAGAGACCTTAGTGACTCAGCTTCAACCTTTCTTACTGCCTTTTTCATTCTGTCCCACTAATTTATATAGCCCCTAACAGATCATAACCTCCTGCAGGTCTTTGCTCAGCCTGGACTGAGTGCTCTACCTACAGAAACACCACTCATGCTTTGAAGGCCCAGTTAAAACCATCTCCACCATGAAGTTCTCCCTGCTCTCTCCTATTACTTCTAATGGGTCGGTACCTGTGTGACAAAAACCGGGCTAAACATTGTAACAGTGATTCTAAACTGGGAGTCACAGAACTCGAGTTCTCAAGGTTCTTTTGCAAATTTCAATTTCAATTTTCATTTCCATATAATCTAAAATAAATTAATATAAGCACTTCCTGGATATTGTCAACAACCCAAAATATGAGTGCTAGCAAGCAACTGGAATGCCCACGCCTGAATTTGCATATACAACAGCACTGATACTATTAACATGCTTCTTTAATTGCTGAAAGTTAATGAAAACGACAGCAAACTCACACAAATCATGTGTTCACACCAAATGAAGCCCAAATAACTTTCAGCACACCATAAAAGCTTTACATTCCTAGCACCAAGCACTGC